GCAGAGGGGTAGATGCAGTAGCTAGAAAAGGGACATATATTTTGGGCAAGGGGCCAGTCAGGTATTGTCTGACACTGAGACAGCTGAGATTTTTACCGACCTACGAGGTTTGATCGGAATTGGACTTGATATATGACAGAGAGGCCTTCTTAGAACACAGAGGCAAAATGTTGTAGGTCAAATGAAAATCGGCAGTATTTTATCTTGATTTATAGTGTATATTTCAAAGCTGCTGGCGTAATAAGTTCTATATTTCATCTGTGTTCTTTTCTACACATCATGCACGTAACCTTTTGGCCGTAGTGTTACTTGTGAGGGTATATGGTCTGGATTGGTGGAGGAGACAGGGAGGTAAAGCTGTATTAGTCCTGCACTTTCTGGGGAAGAACCAAAAAAAACACACAAGCCCCGACTGTTAGCTAGTGGTCTAATGTAAAGATATACTCTCAGGCGAACAGTTATGGCTGTCCGTGCCATAAAAACATAGCTTGTTAAGTCAGCTGATGTGGTGCTTTGCTAGAGGAGATGTTCGGTTGTGGACAGGGCTCGCTGCCAAGGCATTCTTGCAATTACACATTCGAGTCCATTCCCAGTGCAGGTCCAGCTGTTTTGGCAAGGCATGGAGGTGAGACTATTCTCTCTGAATAATCCATTTATAGTTATTCTTAGCTATATCAGAGTTCAGTGGGCTTGCAAATGGCACCATGGAAAGATGAGCTCCCCCATCAAAACGTTCTCAATTTCTGTTTCTGTCTTGTGCCGTGTGTGACCGCTTTGCCAGGAACGTTAGTATGTGTAAACCAACAGGACGGAACAGAGGCCGTGTTACAAAATTAAAGGTTTCGACAGATTAACTGGAAGAATTCCTCATGACGAAGAACCCAAAATGGTAGCTGGGAGTTTTTCTTTTTTTTTTTTTTTTTTTACTTCGGGCTGAAAACCAGCCGTCACGCATCACTTAATGAGCTGTTCTCCAGAAACGGTCATACTCCTCCCAGGGCTGCTGTTGTGAAAATGCAGCGAAACAGGCCAAGTAGTAAATAGTGAGTTTTACAGAGACTTAAGGGATAAAGTATTCACCAGGACAGACACAATTATATGACACCGATATTATTAGCTCAGCATACCTTTTATTAGTGGGTTTTGCATATCTTTATCAATATCATTTATCTTTATCAAGTATCTGTTTTTCATACCGGTGTTTGGAGGGGTGGGTCCAGAAATAATACCATGATCGATATCATGAAGATTAATGATTTTATTAAGAGGGAATTCTTACTCCATGAGTGACCTCGGCCCCCTGTGATGAATGTAGTTCTGGTTTTGGCGTCTTGACAGGGATGCTGTTTCAGGGTTTTGTTTCTTTCTGCTCGAGCCCCTTCGTCGCGTCACCCGAGGCACTGCCGTTCTTCATGCCCTGGAGGCGGCCTGACAGCGGGAAGGATCCTTGGCGCGTTCACGGCCCGTCCGCCGTAGACGCCTTGTCTGTAGGCATGGAGATGCTCCCGTTCAACCGAAAGACATGACTTAATTATGGCCAACGTCGGGAAAAACAGTAGCCAGGAATTTACAGTAGCTACATATCAATATAAGACATATTCTGCATTTATAAGTGTAATTTTTCCAAGTTTATTTTTAAATACTTGAAATTGCTTCTTAGGTGTTCCACAGTTGAACTGTCTGTCATGTTAGGCTGTTAAAAATAGATGAATCGAATGAATAGTCTTTCACTACCTTTATAATGGACTTGTATAATGGTGTTACTTAATGATCAATGACCGGGTTGTATGAATGGACTTTTTGTCAGTAAACCACCTGTACAGTCAACAGGCCATCAACAAAAGCCTTGGCAAAAGGTGCAACATCCATTGTGTGCAAAGAGCTTGCGAGGGCTCCGAGTTCCTGCCCGCGTGGCTTACCGATTCCACATAATAAGTCTGCCCCTTGAAAGACATGCTGGATTGTGTGCGTGTGTTGGGGGGGGGCTTCTCGCTCTCAAAAAAACCCAAGAAGTAAGGAGAATGAAGCGACAGCTGCCTGCTCTTGAGTGTTGGCTTAACACTTTAATAGCGAGTCGGTTGGAACGTGGTTGTGGCAATTCTACGTAAGGGGTATCTTTATGACATCCATACCTAAAGGAGGACGAGCCTTTCAAGCTTCAGACCAAAGGAAGATGTAAGGAGTTGAATAGTAAGCCCAGATCATATAATTCTTTTGTTTTGAACATAGGAGGGTGCATCTTAAGGACCCTTTTCCGCATTCATTATTTTCCAGCATGCTGATTGGTTACTGTTCTGCCTGTTGCTCCTATCCTGTACTGTTTTAAATGTTTTATTCAGTTCATAGTTCATTCAAGTTGCAGACTCTGGATTACAGTTTTGGCATTAAAGAGACATCAAATATGAGTTTTAAAAACATACATAAATTATGTTCCAGGTCATCAATTTATACAGGTAAACCTGTAAGCATTGAACTCACTGTTTCTAACATAGGCAGTGCTCTACTGTAAAGGTATTGCTGTTTCACTCTCCCATCATTAGTTTTTCCATTCACTGATGATGAGGCTGTAATAAACTTTTAATGCCTAACAATGCCATTGCGTCTTATTGACTGTCCTACTTCACTGGGATTTCATGGCACCAGGACCAGTATGGGGTTTATGCTTCTGGTGGAAGCTGAGCAGTTAATGCATGGCTCACCCCATATGCTGGGATAAAACGGATCCTTTATCTGGTCTCCCTGGACACCTGACCTGGGAACGACGTAGTTGTGGGCTGTACGTTTGTTAGCATGTCGTTATTCTAACCAGTCTTGCCTTAGGCAAGAATCGGGGGGGCAGAATCCGTCCTTTGTGTCGGATGCTTGTTGTTTACGTGAGGTGGAGGCTGCCTTTGTGGGGAGGAAGCTGGTAAGAATACCATAGGTGTCTGTGCTTAAAAATATGGGGGATCGGGAGTGAGTAAATGTGTGTGTGTGTGTGTGTGTGTGTGCGCAGGGCGGGTGACGGGGAATCGGGCAAATGTGGCTCCACGTGTTGACAATCTTGTTGCGGGATGCTGCCAGCCATGTCTATTAATAGTTTGGGGTTTAATGGCCACAGATAGTGTGTGACTTCACGGGCCAGACAGGCACGCACCCACGCGCCGACCATACCTTTCGAAAGGCATCTAAATCTGGGAATGCGGCGGGTCTGAACGTGGCGCCTGTCAGCGTCCCTCCCCGCCCCGCCCCGCCCCCTTATAGCCTTTTCCCGCAGCTTCCTCCTCTGTAGGCCACACTTGCGTTAATGCCCATCGGTGTCCTTAATTGACTCCCTTAACAAGGTCGTGGGGAGGCCTGGTGGCGATGGTGGCCTGAGAGTTTTCCCGCATTTATGTAATTTTATTTTTTCCCTCTAATTTTGCGTGACTTTGGGTCAGATAGAAATGTCAGCCTCCATGTGTGAGAAGCTGAGGATGACGTGTAAACACATGCAGGGTGTGTTGACCTCTTTAATTATGCTCACCTTACGAAATGTCACTGCACCCTCCCAGAAACGGATATGGTTATCGTCATGCGAATGTTTGTTTTCCATTTTCTATTTCTGGAATTACATTGATAGGGACTCAGCGGCAATGTGTATCTTTTTACTTTTTTTTTAATGGAATGTTTCTCCCATCCATTTATATATAAGAAAGGAGAAAGTAAATAAATGCTAAAAAGCTTTATTAGTGGCAACCAGAATAATCTGTAGTTTTGATGGCTTGACATCTTCTGGAATCCATTAGCTTGCTTAACTTAAAGCATAAAATGCGTATCTTTTATTTATTTAATTTATTGTTGATAATTTTAACTTCTAAATATTTTTAATGCACTCAAGCTAATTTAGAATGGACACAGCTTTCCCAGTGATTCCCAGTATGCCGTACGATCTTAAAATGCCTATTCAGGCAAACAGCAACAGGCAACAACTGTACCAGAGTATTAGTAAATGCACTGTTTTCGAAATACAGACTGTTTTTAATGGTGATATTTGCAGCCGCAGTGATGTGTGTTTAATTAGCAGTCGTGCCCATTATTAAAAATGGTGGACGGTTGGGATGCGAACACCTCCAAGAACTGTCACCCGAGTCCCTGTCCCCGTTTTTAATTAGTCTGGTTTTTGTGGCATCTGCCACTGAGACGGATAATAGAGAGCGGGCTCTGCAGCACGCGGTAAATAAATTCCTCGTTATAAAGCCTGAGCCTCATAGCCCTGCAGTAGTGAAAGACGAGACAGCCCCGTTACAGTTCACAGCGAGAGGGTCAACGCGAGAGACCTGGTCAGCCACAAGCACGGATGATTTGAAATTCCCTGCACATGGCAGCCTGCACTATGTGTGCCTGTTAAAATGAGCGTGTGTCCAGCATCTCAGTATTTTTGTAAATAATGGTCTTTTTGGTTTGTCAGTGGATTGTAGGCTGGTCCTGTTCACCTCCTAACCTCGCCACTACCACGGTCGGAAGATCGACGGTAGCATGAAACAGCAGCCCTGTTACTTGTGCTGTAGTGGTGAAACCGCACGTCCGGTCAAGGTCGCGGCGACCCGGAGCCTATTCCTGGAAGATGAGGAACTGATATGAGAATCAGCTCTATTTCTGTGTGTGTGGGTGTGTGTATAATCGCCACGATATGTCAGTGCATTAGAAAAAAATATAATTGAATAATGACAAGTTGCAGCCTATTTCTTGCAATGGTCCATTTGATCTCAGATCCATAACGCAGATAACGTTCTGTGTATTTCTAACATGTAAATTGGTATATGAATTTTTAGGATTCGTCTATATTCAACCCAAGAGGTTGCATTAAAACATAGGCAAATTGACTCATTGATGCTAAGCTTGTCTATGCTCTGAGGCGTTTGTTAGTTTGACGTCACGTCCATAACACTGGAATCTGTGTCTTTCTGTTACGCCATTCTGTTTCCGGTGAATTATCCAATCGCATGAATCCTAATGAATCGCTGCTGTTCTGGTTTCAGAGCTTTGGGATACAGTGACTGATCTGCCGCCACCACGGAGGTTCAGCCTGGAGGTCAGCAGTCCGAGCATCACCACCAGGTAGGGAGATGTACCACTCGCCAAACAGCTGCCGGCGTGGCCGCGCTCCTGCTCACTTCCCCCTGCCGTTCTGACATAGCTACCTGTCAGTCCAGCCACAGGAAGTGGTTCTAGGTCTTGGTTTTCCCCCTGACCCGAGGCCCCCTTCCCTCGTACACTAATTCCACACAGGTGTACAGCTAGCAGGTATTAATTGAGTTTTTGCACACTGCCTCGTCTCTCCCAGGCACCGTAAAGGGCTGATTCTTCTTCTCGTGTCGTCTCTACCTGATGGGTCGGGTGGAGGAAGGGGGTCCGTCAGATGAATTGTGGATTCAAAGCATGTTTTTTGCATCTTGCAACAAATTTACTGTGGCTCCTGCAAACGTGACTCCTCTCTTTGTGACCAATTATTTGTGACCAATTATCCTGCTTTATGAGACAGTTGATATGAAGAAAAAAAAAGCCACAACATAAATGCTTCTGCTTTTTTATTAGATATTTGGGTTAATTTCATGTCCTAGTTTTCTTTGTTTTGTTTTTGTTTTTTTGTACAAGAAAGAAGTTCTTCAACAAAGAAATAACAAAAGGACAAAAAAACATCGCTGTAAGGAATATGTTTGAATCTAAAAAAAAGCCTTGGAATTAAACAAACGCATAGTACCAAAGTTGAGGCTCAATATGGAATTGCTTATATTGATTGAGACTTTTGCAGCTGGACCCCTCGCTGTGGTTACGTGGTTCGATAAAACGCCGCCTCTTATGTGCAAATCCCGTCTCTGCTGGATTTTCGTAGCGGACCGGAACATCCAGCAATCGATTTTCTTGGAAGGAAGATTCTTTCTCCATATGAATTCAGTAAACTCGCAATAATAACAAGGTAAATAATCCATAAACTTCAAAGGGCGTTCATAAATAAGGACGACATTAAACGAAAGGAGCTTTCAAACCCGACATGAAAGAAATGTGTACGGGGCATTTTTGTGTATTTGAACATTGACCGGTATTTGTATCAATATAGCCTTTGAAGTCTGGCTTTGGCGTCCTTCGTTTTTAAAACCTAAATCACGTTTCAGTCAGATAATGTACCCTTTCCACACAGACTGGGCATATGTACGATAATAATAAGCACATTTGATGCACCATTTTGATATGTCATCCTATATAGAGGTTAGTTCCTGTGGTACATTTGAAATATTTGCAGGAAATAGTGCCCCCTACATACACACACACACACACACACACACACACACACACACACACACACACACACACACACACATGCCACCCCCCAACGGGTATACAAGCACATATGGAAAATGTTTTGGGTACAGCTCAAAGATTTCAGCTCCGCAGGAGTGTAAGATATCAGGACAGCTGCCCTGACAAGGTGGCTGGGAGGAGGAGGAGGAGGAGGCTCCGGCCATCGGATCAGCAGAGATCTGCTCTGGGGGAATGACTAATATTTCTCTTTGTGACCGTGGCTTTTTTTGGCCCTTTGGGGCGGAGATTCCCCGCAGTCTGCACCGAGTCACAGTGGTGGACATGGCATTTTTCGCTCCTGCCTGTGTTGTTATGATTAAACTGTACACACATGTTGACCTGAGACATTTCCTATGATATATTTGCACACGCAAACCACAGAGTTTCATATGTTTACTATTATTAGGAGGACTTATGACCTGGATATATTTAGGGTTTGCGTGTGTGCTTTTATGTAGTGTTAATAAACACTATATGAATGACTGTATAGGGAATATGGCAGCGTGTTGAGTAAGTTTGTATGAATTATTTAAGGTTTGAGCTGTTAAATCTCTGCTTGGCGTCTGACTCGAGTGTTTTGCAGAACAATAGCCAAACTGCTCTTCTGATCCGGGGAGTTTTGTTTGTACGATGCCATTGGCTGTGCTGGCTTGTGATGTCACGCATGCTACAGTCCTGCCTGCCCCCGCCTCTCCGCCTTCCCGCCCCCGAACCCCTGCTGGCCGGATTTCACATTGTGCCCGTTATCTGCCACTGGCCTGCGGAGTCTTGGCTGCTTAGGCTCCAAAATAGGAAAATCAGAGGAATTTAGGTGCATGATAAAGAAGAGGCCTGAGAAAAGGGTATCCACAGATGTATCCGGCAACATTTTATAGTGTTTTGTTTTTCTTGGCTAATTTCTCTGTGCCTCATGAGCTGGGGGTGTTTTTGCAGCCTGGAAACATGCAGAAGAATTGGTTCAAAAATAAACAAAGATCTCCCCACCCCCCCTCGAATGCTTTCCCTCTCTTCTACCTGTCTCTCCTCTTTATGGTGGGCTCAATGCCATTGAGTGAAACAAGCTGTGCGTTTTTCTCACAAGCTGCTATCTCTGTAACTCTCGTGTGCGGTGTGTGTGTGTGCGTGTGTGTGTGTGCACACTCTGGCCCTTTTTTGGCTGTGGTGTCAGAGTCAGCCAGTGGCAGGGGCACATCCCCCCCCCCACCTCTGCTCTCTCCTATATTTTGTGATGGGACAGAGTGGATGAGGAGAGCTGTCAGTCAGTCTCCCCCCCCCCCCAATCTCTAAGGGGGAAGCCATGGGACACAAGAGGTGCCGTGAACAGGCTGCACAGTTTACATCGGCTGCCCACTGTTAAACAGATCAGCCCTAATGAAGTGTCCGATGTTCAGGCCGCGTCAGCCTAATCCTCGCTGGCAGCCCGTCCCTGGGCGGCCAAAAAAGCCGCCACCCTCTGGCCTTCTCGGGCCGCCCGGCGCTGCCACTAATCAGGCCCGACGGTGCGCGACCTGACATGCAAATGTAGGTCATTGCATATGTAAATGTGTCATTACGGACCCCACGTGCCAGAACGCATTAGCGGGAGAGCGCTGGCAGCACGCGCCTGTCACCACGCGGCCCAGTCTCGTACTGACGCTTGTCGCCGCACGGCCAGTGAAAGATTCCCGTGCTCCCCTCCCCCCCGACTTCTGCAGATTCACGTTTGCCTCATGCTGTTCTTCTGGCCTCCCGCCATTGCTCCAGACACCATGCCGGCAGCCCGCCGATCGCGGCGTTGCACAATGTGCACGCAAGTCGCCCCTTTTGTGATAAATCACGAAAAGCTGATAATCGGTATTAACAGAATGTGGTTGTTTTCTGGTTCTGTGTGTGTGGGATTGGCACAAGTTTTCCTCATGCAGCCAAAAAAATACGGAGTGAGGGAAATCGGTGTCTCTTAATTGCCTGTTGAGTGTGAGTGTGAGTGAGTCTGTCCTGCAATGACCTGGTGTCTCCTCCAGTGTTTTTCCAGTATCACCACAGCCCATTGCTGGATTAGGGGTATGGATGGATGGATGGATGGGACACAGTGTCATTGTTTTAAGGTGTTTCGTTTTTTTCTGTCTTTAATATTTGCACCGCTCGTTATTATGTAACCCTTGCGCACAATTTGGTGGTGTGATTGAATGAACTGACATCCCCACTGAATGTAATGACATCCCCACTGAATGTAATGACATCACCACTGAATGTAATGACATCACCAATGTGTGCCGTGTCCAGTTTCTTCCACGTGTTTCGTCTGTAGTAAGCAAACCTAAACGGATGCAGTAGTATTAGGTCATTATAAGGGCCCTTCCTTATTTAAACAGTCACAGTTCCCTGCATCTCTCTCTGTCTGTCACCTTCTGTAGTCATGATCTTATACAATTACAAGTTTACAAGATGCTCAGCTTTTGAACTTGTATCCAAGGGGCTCATTCTTAATATGATTACGATCTGGCTAATTTTAGATGTTTTAAAGGCCAGGCAGCCCTAGGGTATATTTTAGAGTAGAAGTTTGCTGGTCCCCTGAAACCTTGTCATGCCCTGGGTGTGGGATTCCATACATACTGGTAATGAAAGTTCTTCTGTTTTATATTTGTCCAGTTTGTATCTTTGAGTGCCTGAACATGCGTTTGCTTAGTTCACGGCTATCCTTGTTTCTGCCATGGGTACCTGAAAATCAGACATCTGTTTATACACGAATCGGGATCTGAATGAAAGTAGTGTATTCTCCCATTCCGTGTCATCTTTGAAAACAAAAACAACTTGCCAAACCTTCATGTTATTCTTACTTATCTGTATTTCCAGAAGCCTTTGCAGCCAGATATGGGGCACAATGCTCTAGCAAACTATGAAATCGGGAAGATGATCGGAAGAGGGCAGTTCAGCGAGGTGTACCGCGCGCGGTACTTGCTGGACAACACGTTCATGGCCTTGAAAAAGGTTCAGGTAAGAATCAGAGCTCATTGAATCACACATCAGCATCACTGGATGCTCTCAAATGAAATTAATGCTAAAAACGAGGCGTTTGGACTGGTGTGAGGTTTGTTGACAAATGATGATTGGTACTTCTGGTATCATTTGACAATTCACTTAATAAAATACATTTTACATTTTTGCATAGATTTGACTAGTTTCCTACTATATGTGTATTGTAATAGAAAGTAAAAAATAAAATGTTTTGCTTTCTGTTAATTTATTCCTAATGTGTTTGTATGGTAAGTATTTTTTTTGTGTTTAGATCTGCCAGAAATATATACTAATAAATTAGCATAACCTGAATGGTCTGGGCTGTTTCAAAATGCAAACATCTTGAATTAACTGCTAGTGTTTTTTCCTGAAGTAAGGGAAAGCTGCAAACAAAGGTGTGTTTGCAGCCTGCTTTTCACTTTGTTTGTGTTGTCTTTGCGTTTCCCACGTGCCCCCGGCTCACGGGCGTGCTGCCCACCGTGGGCTCACTGGTCAGTGATGCCTTGCCTGGCCTCGGCCCAGCTTGTCTTGTTCCCAGCCTTGTATGCACATTTAACGCACTAATATCCCTCACGACACTGCACACACACACACATATATGCACGCACACACACACATGCACGCACACACACATATATGCACGCACACACACACATGCACGCACACATTCTCCTACCTTATATATATACTCCTGTTTCAACCAAATCCCTCTGTATAATACCCACATCCCCCCGCATATCACCCACATCTCTCTGTATAACCTCAAAATCCTCCTGTATAACTGCAACACCACCTCATTTATATAGGGGGATGTGCGAGTTATATGGAGAGATGTGAGGTTTATACTGGGGGATGTTGGGGTTTATATGGAGGGACGTGGGAGTTGTTTGGGGGGATGTGGGGGTTATACAGAGGGATGTGGGGGTTATACGGGGGGATGTGGGGGTTATATGGGGGGATGTTGGGGTTATATAGAGCAGCGATTCTCAACCCATGTATTGAGACCCAGATATGGGTCACAGTAAGTTCTGAAAGGGTCGCAAGGCAGAGTTAAAATGTAAGCATTTTAAAACCAGGAAGCTCCTATGCTAATCCACGATCAGATTTCCTAGCCCCAATCCTAGAGTTAACCTTTAGTTTTATAAATGGATCTTGGGTCTGCAACTGCGTAGTGCAAAACTAGTGAACACTCAACCAATCCAGAAAGCCAAACCCACAGATGCTTAATTTAAAATTCACTGGCACATCCAATCAGATGTGTGCGATAGGCATTGATTGGCATAAATTGCAGAGTGCACTGTGTGCTAGATCCTAGCGTTAATTTAAACCTATACTTGATATAAGGCCATGACTGGGCTGGCATGGTGACATTCGTCTCCCAATTCTGCCCCAAATGTACCCTGATCTGCTTCCCCATATAACCCCTAAATCTCTCTCCCAATTCTGCCCCACACCTCCCCAAAGCCCCCCTCCACATCTCCCCCCGGTCACCCACCTCCCTCCATATAACCCCCCCACATGCCTAACCCAGTTCCACCCTCCCCACATCCTACCACCCAAATTCCCCTCCACCCCCCCATCCCCCCCCCTCATAACTCCCCCCCCACCCCACCCCCGCGTCCTCCCTCCCCCACACCCCTCTGAAATGCTTCGGGATTCTCTGCGAACCGCGATCCGTTTCCCGGGAAGCTGCAAGCCAGGGATGTATGAAAAAATAATTGGCAAGCGGAAGATTAGCGCGCCTCCAGCCGAGGCGAGCGCCGCCGCCGCCGCGTAATCTGCACTTGTCACCGCTGCGGGCCCGTCACCGCTAATGATGGCTCTGACAAGCAGCCAGTGTTTCCAGGTAGACCATGCTAACCGCACTCGCATAACGAGCTTTAAAGTGCGCCCCCGCGCCTCTCCCAGTTTAGTGCCGTCCCGAATGTTAATTAGGAGTCACGAACGCAAATGCATGAACGGCTCGGGTTTTTGTTTAAGTGCTCCAGATGTGTCACTAATATGTGACTTTAATTAGAATAAAAAAAACCTCAACAAAAGGAACGGACGCAAAATAATCAACAGGAGATATCGGATCTCTTGCCGCGCGTATTCGTGCTGAAGCCTGAGATGAACATGGGTGTGTTTTGATTCCGCGCGGCAGGCTGGGGTACAAAATGGCCGTTGCACGGACAGGCCGTCAATCACAGTGCACCCCGCCATTCAAAGTGCACTCCTGGCTGTTCCGTTCCCTGCCTACAGCATTATGTTATTCATATTCTAATGACATAATGGTTTGAGTGTGTCTATATGGAACGTCATCCATCCACTGTTTTCATAACCACTTTCCCCAGTACAGAGGTTATGGTCAGTGCCGGTGTTTACCAACACTCAGATCTATGCATGGGGCCCCCTGTTGGCCACAAACAGTCACTACACAAGAGGAGGTGGGTGTGGCGGCTCCCAAAGTGGCTTTTTGATTGGGCCCCAGAAAAACAGTCCTGCCCCTATTAACAGTGAACTTCTGTTATTAGTCGTGTTTGTACGTTTCTTGACTGACAATCCTTTTCACAGTTGCCCTAGTATGGTGTTCTGTTCTTCCTGTGGATATGGATGGATGGATGGATATTTATGATGTTATTTAAACAGTTAATTATTTCTAAGCTGCTGTAGATGCAGTCAGACTTGAGCTGTGCCTGTTTTGTCAGGCAATGCATATTTTGACTTCAGAAAGACATTAACTTTATGTATCATTCCTTTTTATGAAATTCTTGTGAAAGCTGATTACTGCAGGTTTGTCCCGAAGGTATCATATGACATCAGGCAGCTTTAATGACAGAGATGCTAGTTTTGGACACATTTAATGTAAAGGAAGTGGAATCAGCGATGAGCTGTTTTTTTTTTTTTACTATCAGTTTATAATTCATGAGACATCGGTTCTCACGACGGCACATTTTGCCGTGTAAAACAGTGCGGTGAGTCACAGTGAGGTTTCGGTGAGAGAGGCACGGCCCCGTCCTCCAGGTGTGCCTTTCGGACGGCGCCGCTCAGAGGATGCCGTAACAGCGACTCTCCCTTTGATCTCTTGATAGATATTCGACTTGATGGATGCCAAAGCGCGGCAAGATTGCATCAAAGAAATAGACCTCCTTAAGGTAAAAAAAAAAAAATGCCCAACGAATGAACGGGGCGGCGCCTTGTGTTGTGTTTTCTAAAGGCACCGAAACAGAGACCTTGAGATCAACATGAGAGAAACAATTGATCTGCACCAGATGAACAGTGAACACATCACTAGCTCCAGCGTGTCATTCCTCCAGGCAGGAATGGTTTCTTTATTGCAGGGCAAAACTATGGTTTTTATTTGCCCCAGTATCTCTAGTGTTAAGATGACATAGAATGTGATTAATGTATCACGTACCATCAAAACAGGCAAAGATTGGAAATTTCTCACATATACAAAAAACTATGGGATGGTAAGTTATCCAAAATACCTTAAACAGGTACGCAACCTTTGAAAAATAATTTGATTAAAGATAATTTCAAGTTCAGTAAATCACCCAGGCACAGGGGGTCATTTGAGAACATGAAGATTTTGTAAAGTATTGATAGTTTAATGAAATGAACATTATTAACCTGCCATGCCAACACCATCAACACCACTCAAGAGTTCTCTTCAAAGCATTTCCAGTTATATAAACTGGTGAAAATGTGGGTCATTATTCACGTTCACTATTTTCTATCCTTCAGACCACAAACAGTAAGTGGGTTTATTGGGTTTCAGATTTGCGTCTTACACCGTGTATTCAACGAAATGGTGACATTCACAAGTACGCATAGCAACCATCTTGCTCATGCTTATTTTATGAACATGGCCTCGATTAATTCGTTTTTACAGCATTTAAGGTTCTAAAATGTTGTCTGTAGCACATGTTACGAGCAAATGCTGTTTAACCTGTGGCTTTTTGCTCTGATCGGTGTATTTTTTTTATGTTTTAACCTAACATTTTTTTCAGTCGTGTTTAGGATTCTGTCACAGACAGAAACATGAAAAACAGGCCAGAATACATGCCTGCACTTTTTTTCCTTTGAGGTCACACAAGGATTTGACATTAGTTTCATCAGGTCTTTTCATTTTGCATTTTACCATGGAAACTGCATTAATATTAGTCTGCTCTGTGTTGTAAATATGCAAAAAACTGGGGACTGGCATTCTATAGAACTCACTGAGTGTTGATTATGACTTTAAGGTTAACGTTTAACCAACCTGTGATGATTTTTGCTCCCACCTCCCCAGCAATTGAATCATCCCAATGTAATTAAATATCACGCCTCATTCATTGAAGAGAACCAGCTGAATATTGTCCTGGAACTTGCAGACGCGGGAGACCTGTCACAGATGATAAAGGTAGGGCATGCATGCCGCTCCTGATAGCCACGTCTCTCCGCTGTCATTAGCTGCCAGCAAGGAACAGACACATGTATAGAGACTTGCATCTGTTTTCATGACACATATCAGTTACTGTGATCCTCGCACAGGTTCAGCTTATTGGACGTTTGCGTCCATCTTCATAATTTCATCATCTACCAGAAAAATAATTCCCAGTGTGTCCAAACTATTAAAATATTTTAGATTGTTATGATGTGCTTTTATCTTCAACTTTAACTGCGCAACAAAAATTTTGCTAGAATTTTGGTATTAACCAATGTGTGGTTTTACTTAGACATGTGAAACCATTTTTTAAGAGTCATTCAAAAGCCTGTAAAATATAAATGTAATATTTGCGAATTTTCTCAAACACTACATATTTGTTCTAACTGTGATAGCAACATGGTGGTGGATCTTAAGAGTACTGCACTGCACTGCACTGTGAAAATCACAGCAAGGTTTAATGGAGGGAAAAGGTCTTTTGGTTTGGAAACATGGAAATCAGTTTAAGCACCATATGTAAAGTTTAGCAGCTACATGCTGTACATGTCTAACTTCCAGTAAGAAACATTAGCTGGTATGTATCTTATGAAGCAGAGATGCATAAAGGGATCAAGTAGCCAGCGAATGTAACATTGCAAGTTCATGCAAAGTCTTGTGGATAAACTGCAGCCATGAATGTAATGGTCAGTCCTGCTCGGTGACTATAAAAGGCATCTGCTTGTGTCAGCTGCTTATTTTCCTGCTAGATCCGACACCACAGTACTGGGGGGAGCCTGGGGAAGTGACTGATCAATCATACGTGTGAAGTGCAGTCTGCTTGATATATACAAGGTGTCCTGGAAAAATGTGGAAGGAATTTAGGAAATGAGAGAGCAACACTACAAGCCTCAGATGATGTCGAATTGGTATGACCACCATCTCTCCATCCCTGCCCTCTCCATCCCTGCCATGCCATTGAGAGTCAGTTACAGTATGTGCTTATAAATTTATGAAAACGCAATTCTCCCTACATTACACATATAGGAGGATTGTGATGTAAGTATTCAAAATGCATGAGCTTCCATTCTTTTTGATCTCTGTCCATTTCAGAATTCAGGCGATGTCAGATTGCTTGTGAGTTTCATGAAATTCCAAACTGTGACTCCGGTCCTGTTTACCTTTGGGTAATCAGGGACTTGGTGCACCGTGCCTGGCATTCAGCGCCGCTCTTCATATGCAAATGGAAATCTTGAGAAATAGCACAACCAGTGATCTGTTTGGGATGTAGGCCAGTGCTTATTAAGCCAAGAATTACATCCAGGTTGGCTTGAAATATTTCCCTGAAAGCGAGAGGAAGTTTAACATGTGAAAAATAGTACATAATCAATAAAAATAAGGATGTACTTTCCAGGTTTACCTGGTTGGGTGAGCGTAACTATCTTACTGTGAGAATTGTGGAGGGGCTCTATCACCTAAGTGTGTCCAGTCAGGTGATCGTCATTGTTGCTATTGATTGGATCCTCCTGTCTCTGATTCTCCGCGTGTATTAGCATTTCTTGGTCTTGTTATAAAACTCTCCTTTATATTGGACATGAATGTCTGTGATTTCCCAAAACCTCTGTGTCATGTGTTTCTGTTTATCTAGACTTTCCCACTGAAAACAGCAGCAAGATATCACTGTGCATCAAAATATAATGAAAATATAATGAAAGGCATTCATTTGTTTCTTTTGACCCAAGCTGTGAGCTTTAAGGTCACTTTGAATTCTTCTATTAAGACTGCCATAGTTGGTTCATATGAATCTGTAAGTCGGTTCATCTCAGTTTTCGCTGGAGGGCTTCCAGGCATTTTCTCCTCTCTGAGGGAAAGGTTTTTTTTTTTTTAAAGTCTGATGAGCTCAATACATTGGAATATTTACTCCTATACTTGTTATGTTAGATCTGTTGCAGTTTGGGTTTAATGGTAGTGTTACACTGAGTAAGATCGGATGACAAATACTTGAGCATGCAGCCCATTAAGCTCAAATGTACATTTTAGCACTAACAGTTGCCATGAGCATGTTGTCTGAACTAAGATCGAGTATCAGTTTCCTAACAGTGTATAAATGAGTGTGTGTTTGATAGGGGGCAGGGGCTTGTTTAGGTATCAAAGAACCAGATGTGCATTTCTGAAAATAACCACAAATTGGAATTTTGGGGAATGCAGTGTCGCCCTGCAGCTTCGGCAGGCACTCAGTGAGACACACAGGCAGCTGGGAAATGCAGTGTCGCCCTGCAGCTTCGNAATGCAGTGTCGCCCTGCAGCTTCGGCAGGCACTCAGTGAGACACACAGGCAGCTGGGAAATGCAGTGTCGCCCTGCAGCTTCGCCAGGCACTCAGTGAGACACAAAGGCAGCTGGGAAATGCAGTGTCGCCCTGTAGCTTCGGCAGGCACTCAGTGAGACACAAAGGCAGCTGGGAAATGCAGTGTCGCAATGCAGATTTGGCAGGCACTCAGTGAGACACACAGGCAGCTGGGAAATGCAGTGTCGCTCTGCAGCTTTGGCAGGCACTCAATGAGACACAAAGGTAGCTTTCAATGTCTAATTAAGGTCTATGAAACGAGGCCAGCAGCTACCTGCATGTTTAGCAACACAACCACCGCTGTTTTTTAAAAAGAACTGCATTGACTTTTGTGTGTGTTTGTGTGTGTGTGTTAGTATCACACAATTTGGGACATGAGAAGTTTAAATCCTGACCCTTTGTCTGTTAGATCCTGTAGTTCATTCTCGTTGTCAGGAGAGACGGCTGTCATAGTGAGGGCCAGAGTATTCGCAGGTGGCAGTATGCCAAAAGGAAGAGTCAAATTAAACTAATGAATCATTTGATAGATCTACAAGTAGTGAGAAAATTGACTGAACATCCCAGCTAATTTCAGTTCAGTTCAGTTTTTTATATGGTGCACTTTCACAACATTACATTGCCTTAAAGCACCTTACATTGTCCCTGCTCAAAGCCCCCAGTAAGCAAGCCAGAGTTGACAGTGGCAAGGAAAAACCACCTAGTACAGGGGTGGCCAGTCTTACCCGCAAAGGGCCGGTGTGTATGCAGGTTTTTGGGATAACCTGTAGGTCAGCTGTTCAAACCCAGGTGTGAGGACTCTTCAGCCAATCAGTCCTCTAATTAGTAATCTAATTAGGGAGTTGCAATGAAAACCCGCATACACACCGGCCCTTTGCAGATAAGATTGGCCACCCCTGACCTAGTAGGAAGACAGTTAGGGAGGAACCAGACCCAAAGGGGGAGCCCATCCTCCAGGGGGCAACAGAGGAAGCCCTAACCCTAACCAGACCCAAAGGGGGAACCCGTCCTCCAGGGGGCAGCAGAGGAAGCCCTAACCCTAACCAGACCCAAAGGGGGAGCCCGTCCTCCAGGGGGCAGCAGAGGAAGCCCTAACCCTAACCAGACCCAAAGGGGGAACCCGTCCTCCAGGGGGCAGCAGAGGAAGCCCTAACCCTAACCAGACCCAAAGGGGGAACCCGTCCTCCAGGGGGCAGCAGAGGAAGCCCTAACCCTAACCAGACCCAAAGGGGGAGCCCGTCCTCCAGGGGGCAGCAGAGGAAGCCCTAACCCTAACCAGACCCAAAGGGGGAGCCCGTCCTTCAGGGGGCAGCAGAGGAAGTCACATGAACAAAAGTCCCGATATATATGCTGCAGTTTGTTAAGCCTGGGTATAAATGTACAACCGTTGGCAGCAGATTAGGCAGGAGAGATGTCGATGCGAGCCACTTGTAATTGTAATTGTAAAAGTAGATTGAAATTATAATTTGAAGATGTTCAGTTCACTATTGACAAATTGTGGAGCAGGTGGTCAGTGAAGACTGGTCTTCCTGTCCCTCAGTGCTTGTATATGAGAACTTCAGCCCTTCACCATGACTGTACTTTTGACAGCTGCAAATGAAATGAGCGCCAATTGCTTTCTTTTCCATGGTTCATGTTGGGTAGGGATGCTTCAATCCTCTCTGTTTATTTTAATTTCCATCCCCCCCCAACAGCACTTCAAGAAGCAGAGGCGGCTTATTCCGGAAAGCACCGTGTGGAAATACTTCGTCCAGCTGTGCAGTGCTCTGGACCACATGCACTCTCGGCGCGTCATGCACCGGGGTGCGACAACCCGCCTCCCCCATCCCCCCCCCGCCCCCCGCTGCCACCTCTCTCCACTCGCATCTCTGCCAGTCACTTGGGTTTACATGACATTTACATGAGATTTGTTTTGTGGATTTCACACAAGGTTACGATACCAGACAAACATGACACGAGCACAGGCATCTGTTACTTAAGTTATTTTTACCTGAAATCTTCTAGATTTCCAGATGTGCTTAGTTCACAATATTCACAACATGGTGAAGTCTTTTAGTTAAAGCTGTAATTTAATTTTTAAATAAATTAAGTGAATAATTCACTGACCCAGAGGTTCAACATGATTATTCACCCTCATGTAGTGTATCAGATTGTAGAGGTCACATGGCCAGGGTGTTTGGTGAAAAAGGTGCTCCTCCCATTGTAGAGGTGACAGAGCAGCAGAAATGGCCTCCCCAGCTTGTCATAAAGGTACAGCCCAGCCCTCTAAACAGGGGCACCTTTACAAGGAAACATTTCCACGTCCGGCCACTGGGCGGCGCTACGGGTCACTTTGCCCTCCCTTTGACCAAAAGGCCAGCTCTTTGTCTGTCAGCTCGCTAAGTTAAATCCGCCTCGTTCATCTCCGCCAGTCGATGTCCTTGTAGCCTTTGCATTGGCACTGCAGCGATTGCCATAGACACTTGGGAGTCTGTTTCTCCTGGATGCTCGTCAGATGTTCCAGATTCATGATGGATAGTTAGATATTAAAGCAGGAGGAGGAAGGAGGTTAGGGAATACTCAAATGATCACGAGGTGAGGTCCCAGATTCATACTTCTAAATATACGTTTTGCTCTTTAGGTGTGAACATTCTATCAAATGCATTTCATAAAGGCTGCGGTAAATTAAATAATTTGCCTGATGGTTTTCAGGGGAAATCAGAACAGATGTTCCCCCAGTCACCAGCAATACCAGTAGACAGGCCAGCTGACCGCACTCCACAGTCACCTGAGCTGGGCCCCTCCGCTCCCCCCCATGCGTCTCGACAAACATAGCAATCATTTGGAATTACCAGTGTGGTCACTGGAAATTGTGGATAATATTCCAGCCAACCAGCATACCCTCCTGCTCGCCATCTGTGAGAAACTAAACGGCTCCAACAAGGCGTATAATGCAGGCCCAGAAGCTACGCTTCCATTCATCACCTTCTATTCCCCCGTCAAGGTTGCATGGTGACATTTTGCCAGAAGTCCCCAGTGACGATTCCACACAATCCTGCTTTGACTTCTTCGCATCCCAAACAGATTGCGTTCAAATCTGTCACTGTGCTGTTTTAACCTCCAGGAATCACACTAAAAGTATAAAAGAAAATGTCTTCCTTTCATCAGTAAAATTATTACTGTATTTATCACATGCAGTCCTACTTAGGTGTTATATTGCCAAATGTTAATTGCCGTTAATTTGTGTGAACGTACATAGGTATTCAATTAATGGTTCAAATTTGGCAAAAATGTGAAATGTCAAAGAAAAATCCCATGCTTATTTGTGAAAATGCATGATTCAAGACTCTCCCTTTTTAAACACCTTTCAAGCCAGCATTTGAACCCCACGCCTCCAACTGGCATACCATTGTAAACTTATAATTGGCAATTACAGTTGTCCGAAATCCATTTCCTGCTTATCTGTAGTTTTGTGTGAGGCCTGCAGTTCGAAAATGAAACCCTTCTCTCTCTTCTTTTCACAGACATAAAACCAGCCAACGTGTTCATTACTGCCACTGGGGTAGTTAAACTGGGAGACCTGGGACTGGGAAGATTTTTCAGCTCTAAAACCACAGCCGCCCACTCTCTAGGTGAGCTTAATTAAAATGCTCAGCTTTGGCCGAGTCACGGCAGTGCCTGAGGCGGATGTGTTTCATTATACTGTACCGCTCTGACCTGGAACCACGTGTTTGTTATTAAAAAAGCTTGACCTTCTGGAAGCTAATGGCTAGCCTTAGCCAGCCACTAGACATATCTATTTCATTGGACAGTTAGGACTTTCCTGTTGCTTTGACCTGCACAGGATGTGAAGTCTGGACTAGCTGCTGCTGTAAGGGAGTATTTTACGGCAGGCTTTACCCACAGCCGGTGCCAGTATAGTCTCCCAGCTACTACTTTGCACTTAGCTAGTTTGCAATACCAGAAACGCATTGAAGGACATGCTAGGTTTGTGAAGGCCCCAGTCCCTTGGGGAGCATGCTGCGGGTCGTCTAAATGGCCGAAATGCCCCCCCCCCTGCAGCCCTACAAAGGGTCGGATCTGTCAAGGCTGCTCCCATAAAACAGGCGTAACGTAATGTTCTGTTCTCCCATCCCGTCGAACTGAACAAACGGTTCCCACATCTGTTCCCACATCACGTTCCGCTAAGACGTATTATTGTCCTCTGTCTCTTCTACATCTGTTTTTATTTTCATCCTCCTCCCTCCTTTCCTGCGCCTCTTCTGTTTTTTTTTTTTTGTTTTTTTTTTTAATTATATGGGTGTTTCTGTGGCCTTTCAGTTCTGATACTGAGCATTAACATATGCTTAAGAATGGACTCCGCATACATTTAGTGAAGCCAGTGTTTTATAATGTTCTCTAGGAGCTTTTGAAAAGTCCCAGACTGCCTGGGACACCTAGGCCCTGCAAGGTGTCATACTATATGGTTTTTTTATATATATAGTTTTTTATATATCAGTTTAATACTTTATGAGGAACTGGTCTGGCTTCTCCATGACCGAGGCGGTCAGCTACCGAGTTAAGCAGTGTAGCAATCACACATACGCCTCAACCGCAGTTGCAAGTGACGCTTGACATTTGAGCGCAGAAATAATAGAATAAAAGGCCGGCAGAAGCGCGGCACCTCGCTTAGCAACCCGTGCAGGCGGGAGAAGCTGCGCAATCGCCGTCATCGCTCCCATCGTTCCCTCCGCTTGTTGTGCAACCTGTCAGCATCGCTCCTGTGATAAGGTATTCTTATTACGCTCAGTTACTGAATGCATTTCGTGTGACAGGACACTCACATTACACTTTTGAGCACTCAACGTACCTCTCTCACAAGAGGCTATTCTTAATATGGGAGGGGGCTGTGTACTTCTCTGTGTACGATCCGAAAGCATAGCAATCTGGTAGGCGGCAAGTTTTTTTTTTTATTTTCTTTTTACCTTGACAAAACCTCATCCGTTGTTCACGTCGTAGTAAAGCGTGAGCTGCTGTTAATACCCGAAGCAGCCAGGTTAACAGAGACCTTCCTCTGCATTTCAAACCGCAGTGGATCAAAGGTCTAGCTAGCTAGCACCGTTTTGTATCTTTTATGAGATGGGTGGTATTTATTTATTTTTATTTTTTTTTTACGATGATGCCTTTCTGATTTCATGGTGTAGTCACTATTTTGACAGTCCCTCCCAGCCTTGATTGTTCTTCTTCAAATTTTATTCGCAGTTCATAGCTACACGTATATTTTATTTTATTAATTTTGTTGGCCGCTGACTGTCACTGCCTCTTGTTTGTCAAACACCTGTTTGAAGGTCAGCAGCTGTCGATAATGAGCCTGAGTTGCTTTTTTGGTGTCAGTACGGCCCCCTGGCAACCGGCAGTGTTGTGTGTTGATGCTTGGCTTTGCTCGTAGCACTGTGATACTGGTGAACATATAGCTCATTTAGAAATGTAATCTATGTCCAACTATAACAATTAGTGAAAATTTAAAAATGCAAGCTGTGTAAATCCTTACCTTGAAGCTTTTTACATGAAGGGCGAAATTACGATAAACTATTACTCTTAGCATGTAGCTAAAATTACAGCATTATTAGCAGCGAGTGTCCAGCCTGCCTCTAGCTCATTATCTCTCTATCTTAATTACCGCCCTTTCTCGCAGATCTTGCCTGCTTCTTCTGCTCCTCGAATGGCATCTCCTGCTAGATGTGGTTCTTGTTTATTTTCTAACACTTGTAACCATTATTTCCACTAAAGCACTTCATAAACATCCCATAAGCTCAGTGGCATCGAAAAGCGATATAAACTGTCACAATGTCTCTAGTGGATGCCGAATTGATATAGGGTGGCCTCGTGCAGGGAAAAATGATAACTGCTGAGAAAATACAAAAATGGTCCCATTACATATGGAAGAAATATGCAGACCATTTTCTCGCTTTATTTTTGCATGTAGCCTTGCTTTTTATAGCCTGCGTTTTAATAAATTACCTACTGTTTGATACATATTTGATCACTGAATACTTAAATATATTATTAAAGAATGCGTAATGTGTACAGGCCATCTCTTGGTATACTACTTCACATATTAATACATATGTTTTGTAATATACCATAGTAATAAAATATTTAATAATTTAAAATATAATGCAGCATCATTCAACTAGCTCTTTACAAGTTCAAGGAAAGCGCATGTTGTTGGTTAAATGTTTAATTTAGACTGAAACAGTTACTTTGTTGCTTTGCAGTGATTGGCTGTGCGTAATGTTGTTAATTGTCAATCATGCCGAGGTTTGCATCTTGTGAGTTTATGCATCCTGGAACACAGAGGCCCGGTCTCTCTCTCTCTCTCTCTCTCTCTCTCTCTCTTTCTCTCTCTCTCTTACGTGCCCTCTCTCTCTCCCTCTCCCTGCCTCTGCGGGGTGGAAAGGTAGGGGCTGACAGCTCAGGCTGTAATGAGACAAACCTCCGCAGTCGAGCACTGGGGTGTGCTGTGGAAGGGGGTCCAGGAAGCGCCGCTACGCGCCTGTCAATTCTCCGCCCCAGAAGCCGAGGCCCACCCTTTTAACTCCGTCCCTCAGTAGCTGAGCCGCCCGCAGACACAAATAGAAAAGTCTTACTTATCTTTGCATGGGGAGCCAGGGGATTCTTCCCCTTTAAATGAAGTGGGCGGGGTGAGCGTGTGGCGAGCCCCACGGAAGAACAAAAGAAAATCCCTGGAAGAAAAAAAAATGCTGTGGAACGGTGATTAAGATTAAGGCAGCGATAACGATAATTCAGGTTATACACATTTGCGTGTAGCATCAAAAAACAATGACAAATGAACACTAATTATCTTTGTCATTATGTTTGCTAGTGTGTCACTGCAAAAAAGGGCTTTACTGTTTAATAGGCTGTGATTATCATTTTCAGGCGTCTTAGTCTAATAAGAAATATTTAAAAGTACGTTTCCCAAAAGAGTTTACTTTAAAGTCTACAGTGTGTTTTATGATTGGAGATGTCAAAGATTTGGACTTTGTGATGCAACAAATTGTAATAATGCGCATTAATTTATCTGGAGAAATTATTCATTTGCATAACTTTGCGTTTGACCCAGTGTCATATAAGTGGTGCTGTGGCTTCATCTTTGTTTATCGCTGTCTTAGTTTAGGAAAAATAGATGGCTTGTTTTTCTAATAATGATCATTAGGAATCTCTTTGAGCTGCGCTAACTTGCAGTAATGGCATACACAAAACACACTTAATGCCGTAATACATGCTTTCAACAGGATGAAGGTAGTGTCTGGTTTTACCTCAACAAGGGTCACTGGTGTTTCAGGAACTTGAGGAGTTTAGGAGGAAATTGGTCCATATCACAGCTTGCCCAAAAGTGTTTCGTAAGTCCTTTCACACTGACAGGTACTTGTATAAATGATGTTAAATCGACTGAAAGGGGGGGAAGTGAATGGACAGTGTTCTCATTTAAATATTCACGATCCATTTACTTTAGATGTTTTCTTTCCCTTCGGAAATGAGAATAAACATTAATTATGTACTGGTGATGGCACGATGTAGAAACAGTCGTCGTTAAAGCTCACGGCGCCTTTCAGTGGCAGAGTGCTGTTACTGCAGAAAGAAAATGTCATGGTCACTTGGTTAAGACGGTGGAGACGGGTATTGAAGTCTAAGTAATACCAGCAGTACAAAATGTTATTTTAAAGAACCATTTGGAAATAGCTTTGTGAGAAAGTGAAGGGACTGTGTGTGTGTGTGTGTGTGAGTGAGTGAGTGAGTGAGTGAGTGAATATTTCATAGCTCTCCTGCAGACCATATCCAAGTGGTCTAGTAGTTACATTTGACATTTCAGTTCCTGGAGTGGGTGTTTTTTGAATGCTTTAGCAAGCGGAGGGATCGACTGACTCCCGCTTTACCTTTCTGTGTTTCAGTGGGCACCCCCTATTATATGTCTCCAGAGAGGATACATGAAACCGGATACAACTTCAAATCTGACATCTGGTCACTAGGCTGTTTACTCTACGAGGTAATGTTTATTTTTAAGGGGGGGGGGGGAATCCGATCCATGAAATGTGGGACAATTATTATTTTTTGAAGGACCAGTATGTGTGACCAAAATGTTGCTGGCTCAGATTTTGAGAGGCAAGCCAGCGATCGTTTAACCTGAGTCACTTCAGAAAAACATTTATGAAATGTGGCACGATAGTTATGGATGCTGCATTGTATGAAGCCTTACCCTAAAAACCAAAACAGCCCATCATTCAGCAGAGTTAGGGCGATTACAGTAAAATCCAACATTATTTTATTTTTATGAGCTAAGCACTCCAGAGAGGAAGCCTGTAGTATTGCTGAAGTTTGCCAGCAAGATTTAAATGACTGTTTCATATGTTTCTGATATTGTACTGTTTTTACAAGAACGATAACCTAACCTGTAGGAATGACTTCTTAAGTACACAGCAGCGCCATCGGATTAATGGGCCAGCGTGATTGGAAACAGAGGTTGCCTCCCTCTGATGAGGAGCGGAAACGGACCTGGACTTTTTAGAGGGCTACGATTCTTGTGCAAGTTAACTCTCACGGTCTGCTCAGCTGAGGCAACCATGCCAGTAGATTTCCTCAGCCCTGCGCCGTCGTATTACAGGGGCCACAGGAGATGTGCAAGTTCTTTTAAAGAAGAAGCTGAGGCTTTCGGGTGGCTTGTCTGCCCTGCGGTCTGCCGGTGGATGGGAGACCTGAAGGAAACTGGGGGAGGGAATGAGGGGGGGGGTACGACACGGGAGCAAACGGGCTGGGGCTGCTCATCAGCAATGCGCACAAAAACATTTGAAGTTCAGCACCTTTTTTCCTTTCAATTTTCTTTCAATTATCTCAGAGTAATTATCCTTCACTGTGGAGCGAGCACGAGGGCTGGGAGGCGGCGGGGGGGGGGGCACGAGCCCCCGTTATACCACCTCCTGAAGGGCCTCAGGCTGAGAAGGGCCCTCCGAGTTCACCTCGTCACAGAGACGGTCATTCTAGACGCTAATTAGACTCCCACAGTGCGCCGAGTCGGCAGCGTGCGCCTGACCGCAGTGCGATGCAGTGCGATGCAGTGCCGGCCAGCTGAGGGGCCTCTGGAGACGCTTTATGTGATGTAAACTCTCATCCTCGTCCCTTGGCTGCCCAGGTACAGCGCCCCCTGCCTCTCGCCCTGCCTCCCTGAAATAAGTTGCTAATGCGGTTTTACGGAAGGTGTTCGGCTGGATGCTGAACCTGTTTCCACGCAGGTGGCTTTAGCTACTAGCTCAGCCGACGACAGTGCTAACCGCGGAAGAACAGCTGCTTTATTATTAACAGAATAAACTTACGTGAAATACTTAAAATGCCAGCCATGCTTCAACAGATCGATCAGTACATCTCATCTGTACCGCGGCGCGGATACGTGCTGTGTCTACACCAAATATACCAACTTAATTCTGAGTCTACAAAAACGGCGGCGTGAACAAGACCGCGGCTTGTCTGTCTACATGACTAAATGAATCGCAACATGAATGTGGCCAGTAACTCGTGGGGTATCGGATCAGTGTATCACCTTTGAAACAGAAGCTGGATGCAGCTGCGTTTGTTTTCTAAAGGCCTTTTCATCCTGCTTGTCCTGCTTCATAAAATCCTTTGGGGACGATGCCGTGTTCTATCTGTTGTGGGTAATGAAACGTATGATTTGAAGGTGACTGGTACAGCCCAGCCTGGTGAATGCATGTTTACACTCAGGTGCTTATCTGACGCTTTTATCCGGTACAGCTAACAGTTTTAGTTTGTCAGCTGGAGGTTTTTTTCAGCAGTGTTTCAGGTTAAGCGCCGTACGCATGTAAAGGACCAGGTCCTTTACCGTGATGTTACCCACTGCCCAGCCGCAACACCTGGCTGAAGGAATCTTCCGGTTCATCAGTAGAGTTGCCTACTGAGGCCTGAGAATGAAATCTGTATGGACTCGATGGTGCATTTGAGTCACCCGTCTCTGCCTGAGTCCTCAGAAAGCACTCGTTGGAACAGTAGGCGTGTGGCACTTCCTGGATGAGATACCAGCTCACTCACTTCACTCCACTCAGTCTTAATTCTCACCCTATTGGGCCACAAGGCCAGTTCTACACCCTCCACTGCCCGTGTTTGAATGTGCGGATTTCGAGCTCTGGATGGATGAGGGTGCAGGTCTCTGGAAATATTCCTGCTCCGACCCAAACGTAGCAGCGAGCGACCCCTAGGGTCGCTGCATTTCATCTCCGTTTCAAGGCGGCCCCTTCATTTGAGCCTAATAATTTAGCGTGACCCCACCACCCCCAACCCCCCCCTCCCCCCGCGAGAGCCCCGCTCAGGATCCCCAGGGGTTGCCATGATACTCACGGCACCATGGTTACGTGTGGTGATGACGGGATGTCCTGCCATTCCGGCACCAGCAATCTGTGTCACCATATGTCACCTTTAAATGAAATAATAAATGTGAATAACATCAATCATTTATAGAAATTAAATGGAAGCCATAGAGGGACATGTTTCATGCAGTCACAGAATGGGTTTTTCTCCCTTTGTTTTTCTGATGCTGTTTGTGTACATAGTCTCCTTCTAAGTCACATGATCACCTGTACATAATGACTGCGGGCGTATCCGTATTTTCTCTGTGCTGAACGTCTGCAAGGGCGTAAGCTGTGTATTTGAAATCCCAGAGTTCCCTGGGTTCCCGTTGGTTTCCCTCTGCTCCTCGCTGCCGGCGCGATGCTTCATTAACGGCGGATTAGAGCGGCTGACAGAAGCGCTCGCGGTCGGCCCGCTGCCACGTGACGAGGTCCCGCGAGGCCCCACGGCACAGATTTCCCGCCCCGCCTTCTCAGCGTAGCCGTTGGATGGCGCGGGGCTTTAAGGCCGGCTAGTCTGGGAATCGACACCCTCCCAGCCCCCAGAAATGTAACAGCTGCTTGGCTTTGATGTGCAGCCGTCAAATGTAGGTGCGCTTCATAAACACCCACGTCTTTCGGATCATTTTGAATAGATCCCCTATTGGAGACGTCTGAAATGACGCATATCTGGCTTTGCACATTTTAAGCCTTAAAGAATCTTTGATATGGCAAAGCAGCGTTTTAATCAGCTATAAATCCCTGTATGGTAAGTAGATGTGGAATAAGCGGAGCATAACAGGCACGGAAATATATTAAGCTCTGTGTGCCAAGCAGACACAGACTCCTGAAGTCAAGCACAAAGGTGATTTTGTCACTTAAATCACACAGTTTTGTTAAAGCCGGGGGAAGAGAAAAGACTTGGCTAGAGCAAACAGATGGCAGGCAGAGTGAGGTGAGACCCATCATTCACAGCACATGTTACAGGGCAAGCAACAAGCAAAGCCACACTGTACCATGCCTATAGGTCGCAGGGTGTCTGAGGATCCTTCGTAGCACTGGCTGTCCAGGTGACGGTGTGGACAGGGCTGCGGAATGTCCCATAATGCATCACGGGTTTGTGCCCAGCACGAGTGTCTTTACATCACTGATGAGGGAATTACCCCAAGACTCATTTGGGTTTGTAACAGCAAAGAGAAGCAGCCCGAACAGGGTGTAAAGTGTTTTGCTTTCTTGTTTTAATGGGGAATGTTCAGTCTATTGAAACAGTGGGATACATACCACCGCAGCTTAAATACATCGTTTAAAAGCTCAGCAGGTGCAATTTTCATAGTCATTTTTGAAAAGAATCAGAGCAAATTGAATAAGAATGTGTTCCCTGGAAGGGGATTGTGCATTTGAGAAACTCCATTTTAACAAACGTGTTTACAAGCATTTTCCAAAGCACCTGGTGTACATTTCAGTGACTGCGATAGGCACCAGCATTTTTCCGGCACGGTAAAATAAGTATGTATCCTTCCCAGAAGTGTTGTATGAATTTCTTCTCGGTGCTCGTGACGACCGGGGCTCACAGGAGTGCGGCATCCGGTGTGTGAGGCAAGAAGATTTTAATTGGCGCGCAGAGCAGAGGAACAAAAGCCAATCAATATTAATGAAGTCGTCGGCAGATCCTCCACTCCTGTGGTGGACCTTTACGTGGCCGTGGAGGGCTGTCAGGGCACAGCGGTCGGGCCAAGCGCCTGACTCGGGGTTGTGGGCTGCGGGTCGTGGCGGGTGGGGTGGGGTGGAAGCGAGGGGGAGGGCGTGACACCCCCCACCCCCTTCCGACCCCCAGCAGACCACCAGCGGGCCCGTGCGGCCCGGACGGACACGGCATACTAATCAGCAAGGGGCTGGGGGAAGGTGTGGGTGGGTGGGGGTTAGCTGGACCCCAGAGGTCAAGGGGCAAGTCAATCATTTCCCCATTGTCTCCTAGCAGAGGATCAAATTAGCCTGAAAAATTCAGCTGCCTGGAGTGAAGGCCGAGCAGCTGTCAGGAGCAGCAGCGCGAGGCACTAATGAACCAGATGAATAGTGCAAAAACTCCAAAATAAAAACAGGACAGTTGACATTTTTCATCTGTCAAAGCAGAAGATGCATGAAAATACGATAGTCCTTGTTTAACTCTTTGCTGGATGCTCACAACCTTTTCTAACTGCGAATACGTGGCCTGACACTTTGCCCCCCCCCCCGGTGTCTCGCCTTCACATGCACACGGGCGCACACACACACACACACACCCGGAATACATTTACATTTCACAAGGAGTCTGCATAAATTCGTAAGGTAATTATTATGTGCAAGAACTCGGGCATTGCTGAATCCAGCCAGATGTTTGAGTAAACAGAAATGCAGAGGTGCAGTATTAACCAAAAAAAGAAGGCTTCTTGCTCTGCTGGAGATTTTTCAAACGTGTGTGTTTTAAAAACGCCGGTGCCGTCAGTAATGGCTGTGATTCATTCCCGCGCAAGGGTGTTGTCGCCCAATTTGTCGGACAGAGCAATTGATCAAGGAGTAAAGGGGGGAAAATGTGACAGAGCTAGCTAAAGGATTCAGGTAGTTACCGAATCTCTCGCACTTCATCGCTGATGTGACAGAGCTAGCTAAAGGATTCGGGTAGTTACCGAATCTCTCGCACTTCATCGCTGATGTGTGACAGAGCATGTACAGTAGGGGCCCTGACCACATCCGCCAGAGGTTTACCTTAGTGGTTAGCAGTCATTGCATCTGTATACGCATCAGTGTGTAAACAGTCTTCAGTTCCTGTCTTTCGTATATAGAGACACATTGATTTAGCTACCGAAATGCTTTCAGGGGATAGAAAATGGTTGTAGAGTGGAAGGTGCTCTGTGGGCTGCGGCGCTTCCTACGGACGGGAGTGACCCTGAGACGTATCCGCCACAGACGGCCCAGAAGCTTGGAGACCCTCCCGTAGCTGGGGAGGCCGGATTAGGCGGATTAGCCAGGCACCAGGTGGGGAGCCGCATCCTTCGTTTACCGCCAGGCGGGAGCTGGGGACCCTGGTGGGCTTGGGGGGTGCCGACAGCGAGGAAGCTAATCCTGCCCCCCATCCTGCTCCTCCCAAACAAGCAGCGTCACGTGTCATTTCCTGCTGATTTTCAGCTTACTCCTCCTGCTTGCGTGTTGCACTTCTTTGTTTTATTTTATTTATTTTTTTGTAGTGGGTGATTCCACTTTTGTTCATTATTCCCGATTACCTGTAGAAGTGAACCAAATGAAGAAACAAATCCTGCTTGATAAGATCAATTAAGTGTTGTGAGAAGAACAACTGTGCATTGCTGTCTTGGCTTGGTTTAGTACAACGGACATGTAATACTGAGGCGCGGTTTAGCGACGTCAGCTAAGTCAACTTTAGCGCACCATATTGAATCGTTAGAACTTCCTGGTATTTTCTGGTAGCCAATGAGATGATGGTAGGGGCGGAGCAGTTACCTGTTCAGCAGCTGAGAGTCAGATTGATGCTTCAGGTAATTTTGGAACATGCAGCCAGCTCTGATTGGTTAAAGACAGTCGTTTGTTTTGGGGTGTTTTTAGAATGCAATATTGGACGAAGGTTAGAGAACAGGCATATTTTATTCCAGTATTTTCCTTTCTTTCTCTCTTATAGAAAAGACAGTAAAGATGGTCCATCTGTGTCAAGCTCAGCACTTTTGTAGTTATGTAAGGATTGCTTGCCAAGTTATTATCAGTAAATGTTTGAAGCTTTATACACATGCAAACCCTCTCTCTCTGTACGTTGTTTTAACGGGGCTATGAATTGCTTCATACGGGGCATGCTCATTATCTTGTATTAGGATGAGCCACACCTACAGCGTCTTGGTCTTCCTGAATTGGCTTCTGGCATATTCCATAGCTTCTGTGGGATGAGGGCTCGGGTAGACGAGGCTTGGGGCCTGCCGCCCTTCCTGGAACCATCACCGGATCAGGCCTCGCCTGGCTGAGAGAGCCTCGCTCACCGAGAGCACGGTGCACAGTAGGGATTTCCGCGGTTTACATCACACACGCGCACACAGACTCGCGTGAACCACATGTCCCCTGCCAAATCCTAAACGTGCCAAGCGCGTCTTCGTGATGGTGAGCCACCCAAGCAGGCCGTGTCTGCGCGTACCCGCTGGGCACCACATCCTCCGACATGCCCGCTAAACTGCCCGGAGAGCGTGCCGATCCGCCTTCATAAAAATACATACATGTCCTCCCAGTTTGGGAGCGGAGCTCTGATGGAAATAGTGTTTATTTTGGACATTTTTAATGCAATAAATTATTTAATATGCAGAAGAGAAGAGTGGTGACTGTCCTTGTGATGTGTGTGTGTGTGTGTATATGTATGTATGTATGTATGTATACGTATATGTATGTATATAATATAGTCTGGCATCCCGTCATAAGAGTAGTAAGTAAAAATGACCCACCTAATGAGACCCCCCCACACACCCACTGCTTGGAGTTTAAGGCAACCCCTCAGTTGAGACTGCACAGTTTATACATTGCACTCTGCCCCCCACCCACCCCCCGAACACTTGAAAGGTTTGTTTTCGCTCTCCCCAGACTGGTGGCATCCATTACCGCATATCTTTTTGTACTGCCGGCACGAGACAGCCGAGTGGTAATGAGAGCCCGCGGCAAGATGCACAGAGCTAATTGGATTTTGCGTTTCCCGCTGTCCCAATGAAGCACATTGTTAGCTGCAATTAAAACTGTTATTTCCCCCTAAATTCGTCACGTTGGCACTGAGAGCCTTGTGTATGGCTAGTCTGCTGTAGCGTTAGCGTCGATTAAACTAATGTAGCATGATCACAGGCAGGAAGCCCATGTAACAGATTGATTTTGCTGAAAAGTTGTCCTTCAGCCACTTCGATAAATGATCATCGTCACTTCTCCAAAGAAAATGGTCGGCAGATACTCATTCCGTCAATTTAGTTTCTTAAATCCACTTATGTGTGTTTTCTGCGATCTCCGGTGGGGTTCGCGGCTCGTCCGCACGGTGACCGTGGGCAGCCGTGGCTTGGCTTTGGCAGTCACTCCAGCTCCTGTAATCCGCCGTTTCCGATTGATCGTATCGCTCGGCAAGTCTCTGCCGCTTGATTAAAGACTGACAAATTAGAAAGATGGCGTGGGGGGAGTGGAACATCTGGAGCAAACCTGGCACCCGGGACATCGCTGGTTTGCGCAAACGCGCGTCTCTGTGGCTTCTGATGAGCTTGGGGTGGGGGTGGGGGGAGCAGCAGGGCTGTGTTCTGCTCACGGGAACGCCGACGGCGAGTTTCAGAACACACATGTTGCGTGTGAGCCCGGTCTTCTGTTTAAGGCCTTCCGGTGAAATGACTCACGCAGTGATGAGATTCCCACATTCATACCCAGTGTTTGCAATAACCTGTTCAAAACCGTCACACACAACTTGTGTGTGTGTCTGTGTAATTGTTAATTCATTAATTAGAATGACCACATTACAAATGTATAGCATGGGGTCTTTAGTTTAAAATACTCCATTCTAGAATAAAACCATATATCCTCTTGTATATTCTCCTTTTAATTACATGGCATTAGAAAAAAAAAAAAACATTTTCTAATGTGGAGATTATTTGGGGGTTTTGAAAGCACACAGTCTAAAATGAGTTTCCCTGCAGAATGTCACTCTTTTGTTAATAGAGAACCCTCTGTACGTCAAACAGGACTCCAAGAGCGAGTCAACATGAACCAAAGGAGGTGGATAGTTTGATATTGAAGGGGACACGGCTTAATTTAAACGCTTCTATTTTTTATTTTTTTTGGGGGGGGGGGAATTGAAACCATATTATGAGAAGTCAGCTGGCATGTACCTTTGGGGTCATATTGACCCCAGGGTAGGTGTGAGCATTAAATATTGGGGAGTACACGCCCCCCCCAGGTCCTCTGGCCCTGCTTTGAAGAGCTGCACACTCTTGAATGAGTGGCCTTTTGGATGCCCTCTGGTGGGGCCCCCAGACAGGACATTAGCTTGTTTCTTATGCAGCTCGGTCTTCTATCAAGCGAAACGCCAGGTCGGCACTAAGATGGGTGCTTTTCCATTGGCATCACAGCGAGCGTCTGGTCCCTGCACCGGCATGATGCATGTTCCTGACTGCAGCGATTCTGAATGAGTCACGATTTCCTGTCACGGTGGCCACTTCCTGCCTCCTCATGGTCTCCTCCCTTCTCCGCCTCTCACAGATGGCCGCCCTCCAGAGTCCTTTTTACGGGGACAAGATGAACCTTTACTCCCTGTGTAAGAAGATCGACCAGTGCGACTACCCTCCCCTGCCCTCTGACCATTACTCTCATGAGGTAACGTCCTCCGCCCATCTGGCCGGCCTTTCCAGAAACTTCTTACTCGCTGGTGGCATACTGTGCTCCTAGACCTGCGTTTTTGTCATTCCATTCAGCCTGAAACTTTTCCCCGCTAAAGCATAAAGGCTGCCAGTGATGAAGCTGGTTATCTGTGGGCCATAGACGTGTCTCACTACTAACACAACCCCCTTTGTATTGCAAAGGCGTGAAAAATGTTGAAAAAGAATTGTAGCAAAATTAGGCTTGGGCCCATGCTGTCATGTTCCGCATCAACGGGATGATCTGTCTCTCTGTAATTCACCATTTGGCTCTGCCTGCACTAATCCTAAACAGTGGAACGTGTGCAAACTGAAATTTCTGCTGATGTCTCCCCATCGTCCCGGCTCGCGGTCTCCGAAGCTCGCATTCACGTTACAGTAATTGCTGTTTCCCGCCTGGCCGTTCGTTAGCGAAGCCGCTCTTCATGCACGCGGCCATTTCCCGTGCATCGCGAGAGGCCCGCAACAAGCCGCCAGGCTGCACAACGAAACCTCAGAAGGACGGCCGAGGATGTCAGCCGTCGCTCTTTGTTGTGTCATTTACTGTCTCCCCTGCCCGCGCCCGCAACCTAGCCCCCCCCCCGACCACCGGCGTGTCTCCTCCATCCACGAGCGCATGAATATTTCACAAATCTGCATCTTCATCTTTTATTCCTCTTGACTAATTCTGCAGACGGCCGGCGTTGGCATCTCATATGCGGGACTGATTAGGAGATCCCGTGCAGGTGGTTGCCATGGCGACGCTGCGCGGGGGTTTTTTAATGATGATGCCACTGCTGGCGGGTTGAAGGCGGCCTGCTTGAAGGGCTGCCGTGGTCGCTCTTCTTGCTCCATTAAAATGTGAATGTGGGGTGGGGGGGGGGGGGTTTTGAAAAAGGGGGGGGGGGGGGGGGGGGGGGGCTTTTGAAAATGTGTGGGTGGGTGGGGGTGGCAGTTTCTCTTGTCTGTTGGGTAATTACTACAATATTACACAAGTTGCCAAGTTACTGTGGTATTACATGGGTTGCCAAGTAGTGAGTAGAGAATGACACAAAAAATGTATTTTTCTGGATAATGGCTTCACATGTAATTGAATAAGCTGCAGGCTGAACCGGACATTTACATATAATCCCGTTCTACAGAATCATTTATAGTAGGCCTTGTATATCGTAATTCACACTGCTACGATGCGTACTGCATCCTGCTCACATCTTTGTCTCTGCATTTCTGGCTCTCTTTCAGCTCAGAAAGTTAGTAGACATGTGCATCAACTCTGACCCCGAGAAGAGACCCGACATCACCTATGTGTATGACATCGCTCAACAGATGAAGGCAATCATGCTTAATAGTCCGCAGTAAAAAAAGAAAAGAAAAAAAATCTCGGTTACTCAGCCTCTGCTTTTGCAAAACAAAGACACACCGAGGTCTTTTACAGTGTTGGTTACAGTGTAACTAAGCACTGCAGTTTGGGCCTAATGGTTTTAAATGAAGTAAAGTATTGTTGTTAGTACTGCAGTTCTTGTGCTCTAAACCCAAAGTAATCTATTAAAGTGTATGATTTTTATCAACTGTCATGTTAAAGTACCGCCTGGTACAGTAAAGGGATCCTAAATGTATGTGCCACTTAGAAAATCCAGCTGATTTGAGATATTTAAATTCATTTGTCCCAATTCTTGCCCATCTGCTTAATCACCCCATAAGCAAACAGGATACACAGTCAAGGTGTCACACTGGACCTGCTGAGATGAAGACAAATCGGCAGCTTACACTGTGCACCAGTGCTCGACTGTAAATGTCGCCGGTACTGAAACAAGACAGTGGTCTATGAATGTAAAAACAACCGCAACATAGGATAACAAAAACTGTGTTGTATCAATCAAAAAATCAAGCAAGTAATCGATACAGTGCCTTTCAGTGCAATTCATTAATCTGCTGGGGATATACAGCCCAGAAAGGTTATTTTGGGAAAAATAGGATTAAATTTAATTTAAATTCATGCAATATAAGTTTTCAATAAGTGCATTTTTATCAGATGTATAAAGATAAACAATATTCCCATAAGTGTAAAACTTAAAGCGCTAGTATGTACAACAGTCACTGTTTTAGTGAATTAATTGTTAGACATTTTTTTGTTATTGTTCATAATGATGCAATTTGTGTTCATATTTCAACTATGTTTACTTTGTTTCATTTTATTGGGAGAAATTTTTAACAAAATCTGTTTGTGTATGTGTGTGTATGCCTGTGAGTGTGGGGGGGGAGTGTTATGTGTATATCACATTGTGGGGACCAAACGTTCCCCACAATGTAATAAACACCTGTTATTTTGACATTGTAGGGAGCATTTTTCAGGTGCCCACAAAGATCTGTGAATGCAATCAAAAAAGTAAAAATGCAAAAAGTCTCGTATTTTGTTTGGTTAGTTAGGGCTGGGTAGGGGTTAAGATCGTCATGTTGGGGTTAGGGTTTTCCCCATAGAAATGAATGGAGAGTCCCCACAAAGATATAATTACAAACGTGTGTGTGTGTGTGTGTGTGTGTGTGTGTGTGTGTGTGTGTGTGTGGCATGCCTGGAAGATTGGAAACCCTCATCTTCTAAATTATTGATACATATTATTTCAAAATTGTCTTGTCATGTTGCTCTCAGTCTGTTGTACCAAAATTTAAGGGTTTTAAGTAAGAATGACGGAATGTGCTGATATTTGCTAACCTTGATTTTTCATTTCACTCGTGAATCCCTGTATGACTGAGATCTTTTTTGGCATGGTAATCAGACGGAAGCATTTATAAATGCGGCTTTAGTTCCATATCACTCTAAAAGACCAGATACCATGTTCATTCAGGCTTCTCTATGCAAACAAGCCTCAGCCTTATTGTATGGGAGTTTTCAACATTGAGTTGTTATGGCTATCAACTTATGCATTATTAGATTAAAAATTAATGCATTACCTGTTTCGTTTGTACAGGTGTCAACTTGGCTTCTGGCATTGACAATTTTTTTCCTGCTGTTAATGTAAAGTAACCCTTTGATTATGAATAATTATGTCATTGAAACATTTAGGTAAACTTCCAGCAACTGCAAAAATAAACTGATTTGTGCCTTTCAGTGCTGATTTTTCACATATATTTTTCACTTGTCAATTACGGAATACAGTGTAGTCTAGTTTAGGGCTGCAATGATTAGTCGACTACCAAAATAATCATTAGTTGCAGTCCTAGTCTAGTTTAATTCGAATGTGTCCTTGATATATGGCTAAATAGGCAAATAAGAGCTGATTTAATTCAAATTTTGATTTAAAGTGTTTATTATAAAAGGCCAGATGGATAATTTTATCAAGATCGCAATAACCTTAATTACCTTCATCGTAAACAGGAGCCACACTTTCGTCATCTTTGAAAACATTTTTGCAAAAATCCCATCCTTTTTCACAGTTGAAGAGATGTAAGAATTTATTTGCTGCTTTTGAAACTGTCAGATGTTGCATACACCTTTCATTAAATATAATTAATTATGTAGTTTTCTTGCAAAGCAGGGCAAATCGGTTGACTCTGTCATACCGAATACAGCTGCACATCCATCTCCAAAGAAAAATAAAATTAACACTTAAATTCACTAATCAGGTTTAGGGACAAAAATGTGTTTGAAATGGGGCCTCTGGGTAGTTTGTGTTTCATATTTAATGAAAGAGCTACTTACATTAAAAAATCATTTCACTAATAAAAAGAGCTACTGCAATATTTTATTATATTTGCCTAAGGTGCAACCACTCCAGTAATTAGACTATAAGTAACATGGTATTTATTTTAACAAAAAATAATAGGAGTGGCTACTCAAATATCCAAATGTGTATTATTCACAATGAATGCATTAATTAGTTGTAACTCATACAATAGAATATAAGGAAACAATGTATCTTTGTGTGCTACTGCGACAATACCCTAGTAATAGCCAGTCGCCTTTAAATAAATAAGTGTAAGCTTAAATTGGGGCACCTGCCATTTTTTAGCAGCCCTGATGGTTTTAAGCATGCTGGAAAAAAAGAATTCATGAACAGAAAATGGCATCATAAAACTGTCATTGTTGCATAGCAACTCAACGTTAAATGGAACCAGGGGCTCCTGTACAACCGAAAGTAGGCATATTGGAATCTGTTTACACACACAGGTGTTCTGAGAATAAGTACAGAAAGCGAAATACAGATGGACTGAAATTGTCTGAGACATCAGAATTAAATCAGATGAAATCATTATAGACCACATATCTGGTACATATCTTGGTTTCTTTCACTGTATTTTATTTTTACATAGACAAAGGTGACTTTATTTACTTGCATGAATATTTCCTGACTAAATTTTCAAATGGCAATTAAAAGGCATGTTAATAAAATTGGTCTTGAAATATACACTGTTGTGGATTATTCACATCAAAATGTCATGCGTTTCACTGTGTGAACGGTTCTGCCATTGTCCAGAGCTGCAAATATCTCTCTAAAATTAACATTTAACTTTATTATACATTGAGCTCTACTGTTCATTTTCAAAATAATTTGTGTGTAAATCCATCATGCAGAAGAACTAAGTTAAATTTATTTGATATGTAGGTTTGCCTATTGTGATTTTTTTTATGCCTTTTGTCTTTTGTTGCTCAACAACATGCTCTCTTCAGCTGTCCAGACCAGTTCTGTTTTAGTCTGGTGATGTTTTCACACCTTCTTTGCCACTGTATATTTTTCTCGTGAGTAAACAAGAGAATACAGGTAACTACAAAACACAGGCACCACCAACATAAAATATCTAAATATGTTGCTGGCCTGCTGTGAGCCCCTAGATCAGCTTAAGCGTGTCTTGGTGCACATTGACAGAGATTCTACAAGTGTTTATAATTAAATAAACTGGAGGATTGACCAAATTCCACAAGAAATCCCATCATTTGGTGCCTGCTGTTCCAGGATCTCTAATAACCATTCAGCTGGTGTGATATACGGTGATCAGGACAGCCGCATCATGTTGTGTATCAAGAGGGACCCTGGAGCCTATCCAAGGCAGCAGAGGGCCCAAAACTGGAGTACACCCTGGCCAGGATGCCCACACATACACAGACATGCTCTACCAGCAATTTAGCTATGCCAGTTAGCCTAACTGCATACATTTGGAGAGGAATCCAGAGAACGTGTAGGAACCCTGCATGACTTGTGGAGAACATCAACATCGGGCAGAGGCGACGTTCAGACCCCCCAACCCTAGAGGTGTAAGGCAGCAGTGCTGAACACTGAGCTACAGGATTCATTAAGTGGTTTGGTGACTGTTCATGGCCAGTGGCCAGTTCCAGCAGGATGGGTCTGCTACTCCAAATGATAGATGTGATGGGTAGCGTATCAATTCCATATCAGGAAAATGCCCCCAGGCAACACCAGAACCACCAGAACCAATCACCATGGGGAAAAACTAGCTCTCGAGCTACTGAGCGAAACCAACACAGCTAGAAGGTAGGGTGAGTAGTCTCAAGACTTCTCAGTATCAATTATAAATAGGTAAATAAATCATAAATGGACTTTGTTCTGAAATAAGGAATTTAATTAGTGCCCTCTCTGTTTACATTCTTTGGTCCATTCCTGGTGACTTTAATCTTGAACAAAGGGTTTGATGTACTTGTTTCTCATAAGTCTGAAGCTTCTCCTGTTTGAATTCCTGCACCACAAAACCTGTTAAATATTTCAAGAACAATATTTTTTAAAATGTAGCATTGCAGCTAATTCCATCTCTCAACTTCCAGGCGAAGTTTAATGTAAAACTTTGCTAAGGGCTTTTTAATCTGATATATTTCCCAGGGTGATCTTCTCACTCTGTCTGCAACTATCAGAGGAACATCCGGTTACACCAAACCGAAACGGAGAATAACCCTGTGCTCCTTGATTTTAAAGTACGAGCAGCAGGGTACAGAGTAAGCTGTTCAGCAAAGACCCCCATACTTGTCAAGTGGTGTATGACTTTTTCGTTTTTTTTTTTTCTTTTTCCTTTGTTTTGACGTTATGAACCTACCGCAAACAACTGCCAAGCTCAATTTGAAAAGACATCTCAGCTAGACAGGGGCTTCAGTTATTTTTACTTTTCAACCCGTGACCTATCTTGTCGACCAATCCTGAGCGCTGAAAGCAAGAAAAAAAAACATTATTACTGGCTGTGCTTCTTGGAGAGCTCATTGCTTTGAATTGGAAGGAGATCAAATAGACATATTCATACATTTCTTAAGGAATACTCCAGGTTACTCTAAGTGTGCCTACGTGCACACCCTGCTCCTTGTATTGATTATATTTATGTGTTCATTTATTTATATGTGTCAGAATGCTGCCTGTTGGTTTTGGCTGGTGA